AAGAGAGAAACAGCTCTTGCAGAGATGGACCAATCAGATCTGACGAGATCTCTGGGGCGCGGTCAAAGTGGGAGGCTGTCGAGCGCAGGCTCACAACATGCAGCGTGGGCCACGCGCGCGCATGTTTTTCTGTGCGATTGACTTATCGTAGGAGTGGGGATATTTGAAAAACCAATTGAGTTTTAGAAATGAAATGCGGTATGAAAGAGAAAACGGTAGCTGGCAAACACAGATCCAGTAGGTCAGATGTTGTGGCCACACCGCCCCACCCTAGTTTCAGAAACTTGCAAAGGCAAATACATTGAATGAAGCTCTGATTAAATTCACCATAGTACCCATCCCTCCGTACAAATTAGGATCTCCTCTCTTTAATATTAATTATTCACTCGTTGACCCTGTGGTACAATGTTGACGTCAGCTAGCGCTCCAAATGAAATTACTCCCCGCACCATGACTGTAGGGCTTAACTTCGGAACTTCAACATCCTCAATTGTATTGCAACTTGGAGCCAAAATAACGTCATTTTTGTGATTGGTAGCTGAACTAGTCCATACGGTGATTCACTGGAGAAGGCGACTTATTTCTAGTCGTCTACAGTTTACGTCTTGACTAGCTTACAGAAGGTCATCCTACATTTGATTTATTTTTCTGTTAATTTTGGGATTTTATTTCTGTGATAGGTGATAACATTCAAACTATCATGCAACTACTGGTGCACACTACAGTTAGAACCCTTCAGACTTTTAGCATTTTGTTTTTTTTGCGAGTTTCTTTGTGCCTTACTTTGTTTTTTTCAATGGATTTTGTACTAACGCTCTTTTAAATTCTCTCCAACATATTTGGTCTTCCAGCAGTCTTCTGCTTTGTGAGGCGCAATTAATTTTGGGACACCGTATATTTCGATGACGCGGACTTTTTCATATATGTCTCCACGGCCATCTGCAGCAGTGACTTTGTAAAAAAATAAATACTTTGGTATCATGCTTTTTACCATTGATTTTTGATTCGCATATAGATTAACATATATTTTTCAGAAAGCCCGCTTACACATTTCTTTCTCGATTATTCACTTCGTATCGATTACCATCCTCTTTATGATTTATACCTGAAAACAGCGTGCTATATGGTTTAAGAGAGATCTGAACTAAGAGAATTTTTAGGACCGTGAAATGCCCAATCATAAAGCATTGTGCCTGTATATTCATAAACGCCGCTAGTAGAGCGTGCAACTCGATTCACACTCACAACATAATTTCCAAGGCATGCTGTCTTTTTACTAGGCTATACAAATGCATGGTGTCCCCTACACTGGACATATCGAGCTTGCGAGTTGAAACTGCGAAAGTAAGTGTAACAGCAGATTGAGTTCCAAATCATTCGAGGGTAACAGTCTATTATACGTACAACGGAAATTTAAACCACAGAATCCCGTACTACGGGATGAACTGTAATTGTAATTTATTTATTTTTTATTTACTATTTTACCAATTCATTTAATTTAATTGATTTATTATTTTAACTTAACACAAGGAGCAATTTTTTTCAGAAGAAAGTAGACATTGCTTCCAACCACATACCTTCCTACATGTTATGCTGCACGATAAGTAGTACTAGGGCCCCACTTATTTAGTATTTGCTAGCAGAAAATACATTTCAGAATGCTGGTTTATGTTTTACGAGACAATATGCGGTACATTTTTAATTGCAAATGACATAGCAAATCTCTGGTTGAATTGCCTCCGTGGCAACCTCTAAAAACCTAGTAATTTATTTATTTCTGGAGCACAAAATGGATTCTAGTCAATGCTGGCGGGACGATCATATGTTGCCTGACCCAATCGAACCCCCATTCGTACTCAATTCCCTTTTCTTCCCAAGGCATAACAAAAATTCAGAGAAAGATAAAGCGGTACATTTGTAAAAACCTGCGTATAAACTAATAGCCAAAATAGCAGCAAGTTTACGAATTCGTA